GGGGGGAGTGGGTGTGTGTTTGGACCAAGAAGTAGCATGGCTTGACTGAAGCTGGCCGCTCTGGCCATAGCTGCCTGCCGTAGTCAGGTTCCTCTGACCTGGCTCAGCTGGGTTATCGGAGGATCGTGTTTTGGAGCATCCTCTGCTCTCGTGTTTATCCGCAGAGCCCGGAGCGGGCGGGCGCGGAGGAGCCGCCGGCAGTTGCGGTGCGCGGGCCGGACCCGCAGTGCGCCTGCGCCACCGCCCCGCCCCAGAAGGCACCGCGCGGCCGCGGCCTGCCCTCAGCGCGGCGGAGCGGCGCTCATGGCCCCTCGGTGCGGCTGCGGCAGCAAGGTGAGCGCCTCCGGCACGGCGGGCACGGCCCCGCCGCTCCTCCCGCCCACGGGAAGGTGATCCGGTCCCGGCTGCACTCCTGCTCCCCTGCCAGTCCGGGATCGCAGTGCGGCGGGCTCCGAGCGCTCTCGCGGGCGGGGGTCGGCGGTGCTCGCTGGGGGGATGCTGTGTGTTCTTTACGTGTGTCAGCTGCTCTWGCCRGTTCAGTTGGTAAAATAATTACCCRTGCTCCAGGTTTTTCTTGGAAGCCCTAATCTGTTAGCTAGGATCGTTCATTCAAGCCCGGTACACCTAGATTTAATTTTAAAAGGAGTTTCGTAGAACGCGGAACTGCATGATTGATTCCCAGAATTTAAAAAAATAAAGTGTCGGCACTGGTTCTCAAACAGTACCTTGAAACCGTAGAGTTTTAGGCCTCCAGTTTCTAGTGGCCAGTTACCTAAAACTCATAATCAATTTTAAACTGCTTATGCTGTTGTGGATAGTTAGACAATCCGTTTATTTATAAATCGTGTTAATAAATTATACTCKGTTCTATTCTACAGGGCTTTACAAAATAGTGATGGTTCCCAAACTGTGGCCTTCTCAAGGCTATGCAAGGGAACAGAGCTAGTTCTACTTATTTTTGAATTATTCCTRTAGTAAATGTTCTTTTTTTCTTCATTTCGTTTCATTTTTTTTTTAATCTTGTGGGCCATTAATGGTTTACCAGTTCTTAGTCAGCTTCAGCCAACATCTCTTGTTACAGCAGCAAGGATCTTTAGAACAGGAGGTAAAATCTGTCCCTGAAGTGCCATTAGGTCTGGTAAATTCTATGGATCAGATACAAGAGCCTTGCACAGTACAGCCGTAAAATTCTTGGGATGGAAGAAGCTGAAGACAAGACTCTTAAATCAAGGCAGGGTTTTATCTGGCCAAAGTGTGCTTTCTTTCCTTGGACAATTAGTTGTTCAACACCACCAGGGATAGACAGTAAAATCAGATGGACTGAAGAGAGGAAGAGAAAACAAAAAAAAAACCCTYCATGTCTGCAGAAATGGAGGGTTTTCTGAGTTGGATATTGTGGAACATCTTGTAGTTGCTCTGTATCTGTTTATTACAACAGGTTTCATCATTTAATGGGTGGGACTCCTGGGCTGGGCACAGMTCCCTTTGACAGCTTTCTTTGCCTGTACTAATTTTCTACTTAATTATGTTGTTGTGGTTCATGGGTGTGAACCTGCAGAGGAGGTCTGTGTGWTTATCTTGGTTTCAGCTGCAAAGTGCACAGAAAGCTTGAAAATTAGTCAATAATATTAGTAAAGAAAAGCTGCTGCTTCAAGCTGTGAGTCTGCCTTTCTGTGTTTTATGTGCAATAGCATTCATATTTATGAGTTTCCAAATCTGAAGCCCTCTTTCTCATTTAGTGAAAAAGTCAGGGCTCATGATTGTGTTATAAGGTCTCTTTCTTGCCTAGATAGCKGGATAGAAGAATTTATTTGTTGTTGTTATAAGTGATGGAGCCTATTCATATATAACATTTCAGGGTTTTATATGGGTAGTTTAGAATAAACTCTGTCTTTGTATGTGTTAACCCAACAAACTCACCTTTAGGTTGTAGGTTTTAATAGTCACACACTGACATACTTGGAGGTCTGATGCTGTCCAGTAGTAAAGTCATTTACCTATCATGACCTGCAGAGTTGATCTTGGGACTTGAATGAGCGTGTGGAAAATTCACAGGAAGGATCTGTTCTCTTCATCTGGAAAAGCTGGACAGCCACTGAAAAGGCATTACCAATATTTCCTGTCTTTCTCCCATATCCTTGAAACCTTGAAATTGTGTAGAAAGCAGGAAAGAATAGAGAACCACGAGTATATAAACAATTTAGAGTCTGTGTTTTGTTTCCTGACGGTCGTTAATCATTGCACCATTTCCTTACTGCTAAGTGCAACCTTGAACCTAACATCTGAAATAATCATTCTGTATGACTTCTTGTGGATTTCTGGTAGTCTTGGAAAAGAGACTACCCATAAAAAAGGCAGTGTTTTGCACCCTTATTTGTTGAGATGAATAGATAAACAATAAGCTCTGGAGAAAAAAAAAATGAAGAAAAACATTTAGTTTGAGTTTTCTTTTTTAAATAAGAGGAAATTGTAGAAGGTGATGAAGTTGGCCTAATGCAAACATATCTGATATTCTTAATTCCTGAATTGCAATGTAAATGCTGTTGCTGAACTTGCATGAAACAAATATGTTGTTGACTCATTCTTTGTTCTGTTTCTTAGATCCAGTAACACCTTTTCTCCTACTTATAGAAGTTGCTAAGGTTTCTCTTGATTTGGGGACACTGCTGGTAAGTACACTGGAGCCATTTTAATTAAGACACCACCTGTTTTGTTGCTGTCTTCATCAGGAATCCGAAGCTGTAACTATGTCATAAAGCCAGCAGTGTTTGTAAGATGGGATAGGTGTCCCCTGATGGAAGGGATCATGGATAACTTGCCTATTTGCAGTAATCTACTACTGCAAATCAATTTTCAGAAATAGCAGGTTTCTGAAAATGGTCAGTCATGTGTTTATCCCATCTGGATCTCACATAGCTCTGTATTGTAGTATGCCCTGTCTGTATGGAAGTTTTATCCAGGCAAAGGCAAGCTMTTTATGGAGGGGCAAAAGCATCCTTTTGTTTGATGGAGTTTGAGSAGAACAAAATTTGATRCTYTACAARATTTGCCCCTAAGTTCATTTGTTAYARTTCCATTTTCTTRCAAGTTGATTGTGTTGACCTTACTGAAGATAGGGTTAAGCAYAGTATTGAAACAATCATGATGGRAATAATYCTCTGGTCTCCCTACCTGGGGAGTATCCTGTTAATGATCACCATCTGAAAAGTTTACTGCCATGAAAAGAGTAGCTTGCCACACTTAGCTATCCTTAGCAACAGTATAATGCTATCTTTTTGACAAATAAGGTAACTTTTAGCATAATGTGGTTGTCATTGTTTCTTTCCAGCAGTGCTTCTTTAGAAGACWGTGATCAGCACTTAAATGGTGCCCACATTCCACTCCAATTCTTCAGGGTTAGATGGCATAAAATAATTGCCTAACGGTTTCTTAAGAAACATGGCTAGCTGTGTGGCTTGGTAATGCTTTTATTGTGTTTCCAGTATACATGGCAATTCCTTATCTGAAAACTGGAGCTTTCTGGTCATTGGATATTTGCAGGTATAGAAGGAGAGTGAAGGATCAGATCCAGTTGCCTCTTTGTTTGCAGCCATGTCTGTAACSTTTCTGTGACACAGATACTCAGTTACTTGTATATGCATTAAGTAGAATTTCTGGYACTAACAGAATTGGTTTATGACTTCAGACAAATATGCACATTGCAGTATAATGATTTGGAAGAAATTTCAGGGGTGYTTATATCTGAATGGCATTCACTGAGAATTTGCAAAGTATTTGTTCATTTTTAGGTACTATAATTCCTAGAGTACAGTTTCACGTACACTCTAGGGTGAATGCTCAGTGCCTATTATGTATTAATCTTCTTTAAAATATCTTGTGCATGCAGAGAAGGGATAACTTGAACTAAGTCTTTTTTTTTTTCTTTTTTTTTTAAGTTTTTGTTTGTGTTTTGAAGACCTGTCATTGAGACTTTCTCAGAATCTCTGCAGGCACGAGGCTGTAGTAGATATGCAGACAGTGGTTATATTGAAAAGGAAACAGTATTCTTTAATGCYTGCTCWGRRGKGGAAAATGTGAAAGCTGAAAAGCCATTTGCTTTCTGTGATTATGTGATTGGACAGTTGATTCTGAAAGACAGAAGTAGTGTACAAGAACTGCTAGTTGCTGTTGAAAAATTCATAGTAAATTGCTCAACAGAGCCTTCGCCACTCTCTCACAGCTCTTGTCAACAGTTTGGCCTATATAAAATGTGTCTAACTGCCTACATACACATTCCTTGCCTGTCTAATGATGCAGATTTTAAGCAACTCCCATTTACTCACACASCAGCATGGTAAAACTGAGCATGCACTGTGATGTTGTATCTGGGCTAAAGACCGGGAGCTGCCACTTGAGGACAGGTGAGCTTTTATCATTCTCACTCAGTGATTCACCTTCTTCACCTGGACTGTGTAACAAAGACCATGCAGTGACAAGGAGAAAGGCTGTGTAGACTCACACTTTCAGGTGTCCTTCTTTTTCGTCTTGTACACAGCAACTTTAGCAGTCTGTCAGCCAAGAAGTCATAACAGTCTGTGAAATAATCTGACATTTCATTAAAGTGTGAATGTGGTGGTGCTGCCACTGTCTTAAGTGTGTCAGACAAAGAAGGTGCCAGAGTCAGTGCCTACCAGCTGTCATATAAGTTTATTAACCTGGYACAAATCAACTGTAGTTAGTCCTGTGTCCATGATTTTCTTTTATATTTTTCTTCTTAATTGCAGGAAACAGCTTCTGTGGGCAAAAATGGGCTGCCGGGATGTTCATGCAGCGACCGTACTGGCCTTCCTCAGTGGAACAGCCTCAGTAGCTGGACTACTTGCAGCAGTTCTGCTTCCAAACTGGAGGCAAATGAGATTGTACACATACAACAAGAATGAGAGGAATGTGACYGTTTACACCGGACTCTGGATTAAGTGCGCGCGCTTTGATGGGAGCAGAGACTGTGTGATCTATGACCCACAGTGGTACACGGCTGTCGATCAGCTGGATTTGCGTGTTCTTCAGTTTGCCCTTCCTCTCAGTATGTTTACTGCTGTCTCAGCTCTGTTCCTCTGCATGATTGGCATGTGTAACACAGCCTTTGTGTCGAGTGTGCCAAAYGTCAAACTGGCCAAGTGCCTGGTAAACAGTGCGGGCTGCCATCTTGTAGCTGGCCTCTTGTTCCTGCTTGCCTGTGCCATTTGTCTCACTCCATCCATCTGGGTCATTTTTTATAATAATTATCTGAACAGAAAATACGAGCCCATCTTTAGCTTTGACATCTCTGTATTTATTGCCATTGCCAGTGCTGGTGGTCTGTTCTTCACTTCCATCATGCTGTTCCTGTGGTACTGTGCGTGCAAAAGTCTSCCTTCTCCTTTCTGGCAGCCCCTGTATTCCCACGCCCCCAGCATGCACAGCTATGCCTCTCAGCCGTACTCTGCACGYTCTCGCCTCTCTGCCGTAGAAATTGACATTCCTGTTGTGACACATTCATCTTAAGRAGACAAAGTCTTGGAAGCCAAGTTCTTGTGTTCCTTCAGGCCATGAAAATTGGCTGTGCTGCCCTGCACTGAGCATAATCCTTTRTAAGGTCAAATTTCCCAAGGCACAAAGCCTTGGAGGCCTGAGTTCAGCAAGTCTGTTGCTGTTCTGGTCTGTTACTTCCTGACCACCTTTCTTTTTTTTTTAATTTTTTAAAAAATATTTTTACTCTGAGCTCACTACAGTCAAAGTTGCTGCTAATGCTAGAACAGTACACTAACAACAGTATGCATCCATTCTTTTGCTTACTGATGTCAAAGCAGGTTCGAACCTCTTTGAAATTTGATAAGCTATTCCTAGATTCTGATCCCACTGKAAGACCTGTGCACCCATGTATTGTGCAGATGCAGGCAGTGGAACTGGGTTTAGGGGGTTCACTGAGTTTCTTGTTCATCCAGACATGCATACTGTAATATGTGATGTCTGGAAAGGGTGTTTGGTAGACTAATTCAATTCTGTGCATCATTCTTTGTTTTCCAGTGTATACACAAACAGATGCCTTCTTAGGAATTTCTGTAACAKAATTAGTGCCAAAGGACCCTTTATTTTCAGAATAGCTATCAGAAGCACTAAAACTGATTTGACTAAGAATGTTTTTCTCTGCTGTAATAGCATTTTGTGAATTACTGGAGGCTAGAATTTTTTTGTGAATTTTATTTCTAGTTTGTTTTTTACTAAGTTAGCAAATTCACTAGATCTATTTTATGATTAAAACAAAAAACACTAGTGTTTAAAAATTCTGGTTAGAACCTTAAATGTTTTATTTGAAGGCCTTCTTAAAAAATGGATTTTTAAGTAGGATATAAAGTGTTCAGTTTTGGAGAGAAATGTCACTAACTGCAAAAAAGATTAGGAAAATTATAAAGAATTCTGACAACTATGAAAGATCTTTCAAAACACTGTATACAAGTTATACCAACATCTCTCTAAAAGGGAATTATAACCCTGGGGAGAGATTTTTTAATCTAGATTTTTTTTAAGTGTATATTCAAGAACAATGAGCTTGTGTGTTTTTCAGAGTTGATCTTTATGGTTGATGGACTTTTCGTGCTGTAGTTTATTTCACTAATGATGAAGACTTAACCTTTTCAACCTTGTTCTTCAATACCTTTCAAATTCAACTATTTTAAAAATGAGTTATTTCCCATGCTATCACGTCATAAATGCAGAAAGTTTCCTATTCCTATTTTCCATAAGATGAGGTTTTGAGTAACTGGTGAGCTTCATTTTGTAGCTCTAYAAGGATGAGGAGGCATTGTAAATTCCCAATGTCTTTAAATCACTTTTTTTCTTCTAAAATGCAGAGMAGCAGGTGAGCCCTAAGGATCAAAGTTCTTCAGTATGGGCTTTGAAATTACTTGAAATTTGATGACAGTGAGTTGAAGAGTGCTATAATTAAAGCAAGTATTTGATTCTCTCGGGTTTTGGTAARTTGGGATCTTATGTTTAAGATGTCATCCCAGTAAGGAAAGTTGTTTTGATTGGTGGCATTCTGGAGCTTAGTGGATATTTGCATTTCATTAATMCCAGAATAAATTTGTTTTTCTAAAAAAATCACATTGAGTTCTGTAATTACAGTTTGGAAAATTCATCCAAGATCTTGAAAACCACTTAATTTCTTCCTCTAGGTGTTAGAAATAGAAACAAGTACTGTGCTGGGCAAATAYTGTTTTGTTAAAATCTGTGAAATAACAGCATGTAAAGAAGGATTGTGTTCTAGCTGGTAGATCTTGGATTTGAGAGGACTGAGGGAGGAAGCTGATCTCAGTCATAAATTCCCAGCATAGTCAGTAAAAGTGACAGGCCTTTAAGGCAGAAAGCTTGATTAAACAGCAATCTTAAGGAGACTTATGTAGACAATAAAGAATACATAAGGAGATACGTTTCTTAAGGCATAAACATGAGTTTAATGCTCTCTTAGGTTTGATATGAAGTATGTTTTTTAATCAGATCATGACTTGAATGGAATTAAAGCATGTGTAATGACATGCAAGCCAGTTTTTTTTCCTTCAAAACTGAACTTTGCTTTACTGTTTCTCTGGTTGTCCAGCACTGTTGCTGGTTTAGCTGCCTATATCCTTAGATGCTTCATAAAGTCAAAGCAAAGAGGCCGCTGGTTTGTGATTTCACGTTACCTTGCTTCGCATCACTTTGGTGTCTTTTCTTCTTTGTGCCTTGTTTCAATTATGAGTTGGACAGTAAATGTTACAGTCAGTGTCTGATATGCTCTTTGAGCCTGAATTTGCAAAGCATTTTGATCATTTTTGAGAGATGATGAGTTTGTCTCTTGGTGACTTTAAAAAGGAGCTGAATTTTCAGCATCTCCATGAACAAGAGTGACAGCCTGGCAAACTTGTTTTCTACAATAATGTAAGTTTAGCCAGTGTTGTTTTCTGTGCACTTTAATAGCAGATGCCTCTGACAGCTCTTTTGTATTATGACTTTGATTTTTATGCACAGAACTTTCAATTAATATTTGCTGCTGCCTAAGCTGATAACTCSTTGCTTTGAAAATTGTCTTTCCAAAAGTCAGAGATGAATGAGTTAYGAAAAGTGGGGCTCCAGAAAGGTATGGAATCCAGCATGGATTTCAGTTAGCAAAAAGACTGTTGCATCATGTTCTATCACCAAAGCACGGCTGGTTTTCTTTYGCCAACGCTGTTAATATGAGTTTTTCTGCTGGATCCTAAGTGAAATTAACTGGAAGTGCTGTGCTGTATTTCCTTTGTTGCAGAAAGAGGTGGCTAACCTGTGACACTTGAGCCGAATGCCGCTTCAACTTTTTTTTTTTTTTGCTAAGGTTGCCATCATGCCCAGCACCAGGGCTGGGGAGTGACAGGCTTCCCTGGGTTTGGAGAGAACACATATATCCTGCAAATGTGTCCACCAGGGAACAGCCTCTGGGGAGCACTTAGCACCCCTGCCTCTGATCAGCTGCRCCTTGCTGGGCACTGCTGTGTGCAGGATAAGCACTCTGAGTCTTGAAAGATTTTAATTTGTAGCTCGTGCYGTCAAATGTTGGGTGCTCTGGGATTACAGGAACCTGTGTTTTTTCAAGTAGTTCCTGTCCAACTACTTTTGTGTTTTGTTACAGTGTTGGTTCTTTTTATGTGAAACAGAAAAGATGTATTTTTAATAAAAGAGTCTTGTACAGATGCAGTTTATTTTGATTAATTTCGTGGGAAACAGTAGCTACTAGAATATGAAAAACTTTGCCTTTAGATACTGATCAGCAGACCATTTCAGATGCCTTAACAGGTTTAAAATGTGTATACTGCATTTTAGCTGCCTAATTTTTTAGGATTTCTGCTTTAAGCAAAATAGAATTTTTAGAAAGCACCAAAAAAACCCAGCTCTTCTGAAAAGGGGAAATAAGCTATCTTCCTGTCCTCCTCTCTGCTGTGCAGGATGTGCTGTCAGCTGGAGAGTATGCTTCTCCTGACCTGTAATAATTGTTTGGGCATCCCAGGGACTTGTGGCAGTCTAAAAGGATGGTGGTTCTTGATGATTTACTTCTGTTGTATGCTTCTCCTGGCTACTACAGCTCAGCAGCATTATGGTGGCTCAGTACTGAGTCTTTCCCCATTGCTGAGGGGTGAAATACAAAAACCCTTTACATGTTAAAAATGTTAATGCCATAGTACAGGTTCACAAAACCTGAATTATTTTGCAGAATAGAGTGAGATCTGCTGATAATTCCTCTGGATTTCTAGTCTTTTCAACTGTCTTTTCAATTCTAGGAGATGGGGTTTTTGTCTCTTTTGGGAAATAGTTTGTATGAGAACTGTTCTTRTGGAGTAGGCACAGTAAAAAGCAGTTGTCAGTACCACAACTCATTTGAGGGGGCAGAAAAATGATTTTATAATGTCCACTTTGGTGGGTTCGTTTCCTCCTTTGCTGTCACTGCAGATGTAAATGTAGTCTGCTACCAGAAGATGAAATCATGTCGTATTGCTCCTTTGCTATTTATCTTCTCTGCTTATATAGTTTTCAGCCCCCCATGTGGCTAATCTGGTCTGCCTCCTGGTCACAAGCTCTACTGCCAACAAAGGAGGCAGTGGGAGTATGTGAGTGGAAGAAGGGCAAGATGGCAGTCTTAGGCTTATTCTTCATGAAGCCTTATTTTAATACCTTTGTTTTCTCACTTAGTGAGAAATTTGCCTAGGAAAGATTCTGTTAATTTGAAAAATTTTAAGGTGGTTTGTGTTTATTTGTAGAAGTTGTTGAAAAATGCTGCATTTGGAGAAAAAGCATTGAACAGTTATTAGGAAGGCAAAAAACTTGTCATTGATTTGTCAAATGCATTGTCATTGAATGTCAAAACATTTCAAAGTTTKTTCCTTTGTTCTTTTCGTTTCATCCCAATTCACTCAGACGGTAGGCAAGAAAAAAAATGAAGCACAAAAAGGAGTTGACTTCTGTTGAATTTGAAAATCACATTGCTTTAGACTATGTATGAATGCAGAAATCTCAACTGATAACAGTAACAGTAAGGAAAAGCTAATTTTTTAGTAAATTAATAGTGTCAGTAAGGTACTTACATTAGCTTATAGGTTAGATGTGAATGGTTTAGTGCTATCTCTGGAGGCTCAGCACCATGGATTACTATTATTTCACTGTTTTGACTCTTTAATCAAGTCAGCAACAATAAAATGCTCAGCCTCTTTCTACTGCTGTGCTAAGGTGTTCTACAGACAGGCTGAATTTCCCGGCAAAACTGCCATCTCGGGAAGATGACAAGGAATTGCATTCTCACAAAATGGGCCTAGTGGAGGGCAAGATTTTAACAGTACAGCTTCAGATAAGTCAGACAGCACAAATTTAGCTGCCTTCTGCTGCTGCCTATTTTGCTTGATTCAAATATACATCTCCCAGGGAAGGTCTTGAGAATACAAGCCCACTCATCAAAAAAAACATTTCACCTTTCTGCTCTTCGTTAGGCTTGTAGTGGAGGCACCTTCAGACTGCCTTGTTACCTGCAGCTCTGATCAAATGCTGTTGACCTCCACAGCTGCAGAGGTGAGGACATTTCCCTTGCAAATACTTGSGAAAGTCAGCTGAACAACTGGAAAAGACCTGGCTCTGTCATTTTGGTGGCATTCTGGGACASTGGCAGCCACGACACGAGGTTTCTGTTACAGTGGCTTAACTGAGGCTGGTGGGGCTTCCAGCAGTTCTTGTGTCAGCTGTTACAGWGTTCATCGTTCATTAAGCTGCAGCAGTCCCAGTTACTTTGCATGTACACTTTCAAASGCTGTGGGGCTGCACCTTAATTAGCCAAGGAGTTATGAGAACCCTGAGAACCACTAATCTTGGCAGCTGATGCCTGTGTGCTTCACTTGAGAAATCCTCTGGGAGCTGTAATTCTCTCAGGCTCTCAGCACTAATCTACTTACAGCTGCTAGAGAAGATCTTGAACACTTGGCAGAACAGAATTTGCTCAGRGTGGATTTCACCACTCTCACTAAGATTCAAACGCATCACAATGACTTTTTGGTTTGAAACACGTAAAAGAACTCAATATATTGGACAGATAACAGGAAAACAGTGTGATTTGATGAAATATGCTTCTGAGCTTGTGTGTGCATACAAAAGTACTAAAAGCTTGCAGCTTTTGTTTGACTCTCAAGTCAGCCGAGTAAATTACCATTTCCTGAGAAGAAAGGTTGCCTCTGATAGTTTCTGTCGCTAGAAAATCGTCCTTTTCTTCTAAGAGCCTTTCCGTACATCATAACTGTATTTGTTTCATGGATGGCTTCATTTCCTAAAGAATTCCATGGTCCTTCTGCTTTCTTAGCATGGGCAAGTCAATTCTCTGGGTCCAGAAGTCCACAGGAACCAAGCAGCCCTCCAGGAACCATTTTTTACAGGACAGTATCTCAGGTGACGTCTCTTTTGTAGGGCACCAGAGATGGCATAGGGGCTGTAGAAGCTTCTGTCTGGTCTGTCATAGACAACACAAGTCTAGATTTGCTTGAATATAATTGTAAATTAGCAAACTAAAATTGATCATGCTTCCTGGGWTGGTTCTGGAAAGTATTTTTCTTAYAGCTATTTTTACAATGTTTTGCATTTTGTTATTATCCTCTACTATAGTAATTCAACACATTTTCTTGGATTTGTTTTTGGYCCTCCTGTCACATTTCTCCTAACAGGAATAAAAACAAGTTACTAATGGCATAAGCTATTAATTTGTTTTCTTGAGCTCTTAAAGCTTCCTCTATGACTTTAAATTATTATTATATTTCCTGAAAATATTGTCTGTGTCCAGCTATTGTGCCTGTTGTATCTCTTAACACTTGTCCAAAGTGCACAAGTCTGGCTGAATGTAAGAAGGGAAAATGTAGGAGAAGGAAGGATTTCCTTTTYGCTTGGCACAGGYATGGAGGAAAATRCAAAAAATTTGGATATTTGGTTTAAAKTGAAAATACTCAGTACATTATCCACCTATAAACAAGTTTGTCACCCACTGTCTGGAAAGAAATTATCTGTAAATCAAAACAAGGATTTGATCGCAGTTTTGTTGAAATTGTCTGGGATGTAAARACCGACATTTGTGAACTCCCAGATTCCCATCATCACACTTCAGTAGTAAAAGCAAGGAGATTAAGACGGGATGCTGTGTTCACAGGAACATTTGTAATACTACTACTTTCTAAAACAGTAGTTATCTGCTTTGGTAAATACAGGTGAGTCTGTATTGTGAAACTAAGCAGGGTAATCAACAGTATCTTCTCTGTATCTAAATTTCCTCAAAGGAGCAAGATATAAGTACTTGCTACAGTTAAAATTCCAGTAGAGGTAATCTGGGGAAGTGTGCTGGAATKATACATTCCCATTTTTAAATACGGCTGGGAATTTTATATTGCATATGACAAAAAAAGGGATTCCTTTTCTATGATGGTGTAAAACTGGTATTGCACAAAATTCCTGGACAATAATTAGATACAGATACTATTTCTTAATTAGTCTGAATTAAAGTGAGGCCAGAGGAAGATAGACCAAATCTACAGCAGGATGTTTGAATTGTCTTGAGTTACTTAAATTGATCCAAGAAGCAAATTATATTAGTACTTTATATTGAAAATAATCAGAGCAGAGATACATGAGATCTCAGTACTACAGTTTTTTCCTAGCTATGTGGTATTCTGAACCAAATCCAAGTCTGCAGCAAGGGGAAGAAAAGTTAAAGTGCTGACRGGCCAGGAAATACACAGTATTAAGGAAAAGATCTGATGTCCAACTGAAACAATCTGTTAACTAATATGATATAGATTGTGCCAAGAGAAAATCTGGTCCCCTCACAGTGTAGAAAATGGACTAAATAGGTGCAGCTCTGGGGGTAAATAATTATCCCATACTTTGGCATAAAAATGTTAGCTGATTTTTACAACAGAAGTTTTTGACAACAGAAGTCTTTCAGATGTTAGATAATGCCTGGGAAATAACAGCCAAGGGATATTATCTGTCAGTTTGTTAAACCAATAGCTTAAATGAAGTCAGTAATTTCTGGAATGCAACAGAACCCTTTCTTTTGTAGGGCTGTTTTGTTTTGTGACTCTCCCATTTACCTCACCCCAAGTGACTGTAAYGACACAATGCCTCTCTTGCCCAGCTATGACTGTGCCAAGACTTAATACAGCAAARCCAATGATAAATACAAAACATGCAATTAAGTATCATCACATTAATCCATTCTGGGAAAAGGAGCAGAATCTTGGAAACAGATTTCTCTGGAGATCAACAGCAATTTTAAACGGCACGAAGCAAAAAAAAGCATGATCTGCATGGCATAGCCCTGTTCCTAGGGAAAGCCTGTGCTTGGTTAAACCTCAAGACAGATCCACAGGAAATCACGAGCTGCCTATCTTATTTCACAGCTGGATGGATGCTGTTCTGCACGGTTTTCAATTACAGAGGTGCTGTGGCAAGAGCTATGGTATTTTAGTATAAGACACACGGATGAAAGTCAGGCCATCCTTTAGTAATAATTGTGGCATAGCTGGGACCTTAGGGGTGTCCCTGTGTGCCCACTCAGTCCACCAAACTCATTACCTCCCTGGGTGCTCCAGGAATTCTTTAGCTAGTTCTTGCATGGAAGAGATTCTCAGCTGAGCAAAGGCAAGGTGACAGACTTGGCTTCTCCCCACCTC